TCATCTAGTTATACTAACTTCCACTTCAGTTTCACAAGTTTAGCAACCTTTGGGAGAGCCTGGGTTCTACATTGGGGATTTCATGGCCAAAGAAGCAACTGACACTTTCTTGAACACAACAGGTTGGGGTAAAGGTGTTGCCATACTTAACGGCAACAATTTGGGTAGATTCTGGCCCACTCAAGGACCTCAGGTACTTGTTCATTTTTTTCCGTTAAAAAATACTATTCCATTCTTCCTACTCAGCATACACTCTATGTTCCTGCTGATTTTGTCCGTGCTGGCTCAAACACATTGATGTTGATGGAATTAGAAGGAACCAAGACTTGTCAAAAGGACGATTGTACGGTATCATTCATAGATCATCCTGTCTTTGTGTGGGAGAAGATATACGATTATGGTGACTTCTTCAATGGGCCGAGAAGAGATGTTCAACGAAAAAAGAAGAATGGTTTCGATTAACCATTGTTCCTATGATGTGTGGCGCAATTTAATAATTGTGAATAAACTGCTGAGAGCAATTTGATGTTCATGCAAAAAATTATTTTGATAATAAACTACAATTTTTGAATTCTATGTTTCATAGAAAGTTGTCAAGTCACAAGCTCAATACTTCTCTTGAATTGATTACGTTGTGGCGCAGTGTGTTGAAATTTTTATGAAAGAAATTTACAAAATATTACCAAGATCTTGATTATAGCGCCATTGGGCATTATGATTAGTAACTCATATATAAGTAGAGCCACCATGCAATGATTAGCTCTCTATATTGTGATGAGTAATTTTGTAGATAAACAGAAGAAGTTGTTACGCAGAACCTACTTTTAAAAAATATTTCAAGTCTTTTTGACTATATGCCGTGCATGCATATTATGACAACTATTATGAGTCATGAATTGATAGTGCGTTTTAGAGTTATTTTTCTTATTTATGGGATTATGGGAACAGCGTGGCTAGCCCGCTGCGCAAACATTAGTTCGATCCCAAGACGTAACACGCCTATATAGCTATATGCATATAATAATCTTGTATTCGAGGTATCGTAATGAAAGAATCTACGAGATTCAGTGTTAGTCATTGAAAACTATATAAACTTTTATTTGGCTATCATTCTAATATTTATCTAGTAAAGATCGTTCTTTCGCAAAATTCAGAATTGCAACAGAAAATTTGTGACTTTTGAGAGAAAAGTGACTTTTATTTCGCATAAAAAGCTGTGAAAGCTAGAATTGTGTA